TGGGTCTTTGAATTTGAGGGCCCTAATTTTTTTTAAGCCAGTCAAATTTAGCAGTGGGGCCCTAATTTTTTTAAACTTTCTATATTCTCTAGTTAGAAGTCTTTTTTCTTTTTTTCTTTTTTTTAGAAGTCTTTTCTGAGGAACAGTTGATTAAAATTTTTTCTCACTGTGTGGGCTGTCTTTTTACTCTGTGGGTGATTTCTTTTGGTGTGCAAAATTTTTTTAAGATGATGACATCCCAGTTGTTGATTCTTTGAAGTAGTTCCTATGCAGTTGGTTTATGTTGATGAACTCTCTGCCTATCACTGTCTTAAATATTTCTACCTACTATGCCTTCCACAAGATTTAGGATTTCTGTTTTGATATTTAGATCTTTTAGGCCAGGTATGGTGGTGCATGCCTGTCACTCCAGCATGTGGAAGGCTGAGACAGGATTGCTCTGAGTTTGAGACCAACCTGGACTACAAAGTGAGTTCAAGGCCAGCCTGAACTGCATAGTAAAACCCATATCAAAAAGACAAAAAAAAAATTTAGATCTTTGATCCATTTTGTCTTTAGTGCATTGTGATAGACATGGGTAGTCTCTGGCATGTAGAAGCCAGTTTTTTCAGCACCTTTTATTAAAAAGGCTATCATGGGCCAGGATTTAGCTTAGTGGCTTAAGCACCTGCCTGGCAAGTGTGGGGTCATGAGTTCGATCCCTGGTATCAAAAAAAAGGACAGTTACTCAGCTATACTATAGTATCTCTTGTAGCAGTCATGAGCAACACACAAGTAACAAAAAGGCTGTCTGTCCTTCTAGTGAACATATTTTGCCCCTCTGTCAAAGATAAGGTGACTGAGTGTCTTTGTAGTTGTATCTACCTCTTCTGATCTTCTCTATTGATCCTCAGGCTTGTTGTTTTGCCAGAACTATGTTGATTTTAACATGTACCTTTGTAGTATACTTGCTGTTGCTTCTGTAATTTTCTGGTGTTGTGATCTTTGTTCTTTTTTTTTGGGGGGGGGGTTGAGACAGTGTCTCACTATGCAGTTCAGGTTGGCCTTGGGCTCACTTTGTAGCCCAGGCTGATCTCGAACTTGGAACAATCCTCTTGCCTAAGCCTCTGAGTGCTGGGATTACAGAAGTGTGCCACCATGCATAGCTTGATCTTTGTTCTTTCCTAATAGGTAATTCATTGTTTCTAATTTATTCTGAAGCAGCCATATCTGGGTCCTGAAAAGGTAATATGTTCTATATTCATTTTTATACTTCTACCTACTGCTCAATATTTAATCAAGCCTTTAATTTGAATCATGTGTGTTTTTAAAATTCATGATTTAATCTGTAATTCTTTGGAGTATTTTAAATATGTTTGTACTATTGGTATCAAATTTCCATTTATTTATTTATTTATGGTACTGGGGATTGAACTTATGACCTTGCATTTGCCAGTCAAGCACTTGTGCTGCTGACCTAAATCCTCAGCCCTCAATTTCCTTTTAATAGCTATGGGAGTGTGTTTTGCACAGTTCACAGGTTGTTTTGTTTTGTTTTGTTTTGTTTTGTTTTTAGAGACAGGGTTTCACTATGAAGTTCTGATTGGCCCTGAACACACTTTGTAGTACTGACAGGCCTTGAACTTGCAGTGATGTTCCTTGTACAGTTTACTTTGAACACATTTCGTTTTTGCCTCTTCTTTTGACTTTTCTTATTGTGTTTGCACTACATAATGGTTAAATTCATGTTACAGCTGAGTTCATGTCAGAAAAATAAGCAAGACGAGCCTCTTCAGCAACAGCATGCCATCTTCCCCTGTAGTATTCCTTTTATGTGTGGACAGCAATTCTGAAGTGGGCCTTTCACACCCTGACCCATGCTGACTCAGTTTACCTGAGTGTTCCAAATTGACCTTTAGGTAACCCACTGCAACCATATATCCAGGACTGTTTTTTTTTTTAAAGCAAACAGGCTTTTATATCATTATGTGATCAATGGAATTGCTTTGATGTACTTTGAGTAATGTCAAATTAATGTAGCTTCTGTGTATTTCATTGAATCTTTGATAGACCTGTGCATCTTTTTCCATAGCTCTGGGTAGTCTACCCTCATCAATGTCAAAATGCCTCACTCTTGTCCATGTAATAGGCACAGCATTGGAGCCATATCCCACATGTGTAGACATTGATCAGCTCTGGTGTCTGTTCTCTCTTTCTCTCACAGTCTTGCCTGTCCTTCTAATGGGCAGTAGGGAGTCTGACAACTGCTTGCTGGAGGTCTGTGCATTTCTTGTTTGCATCTGTGCTGCTTTTCTATTGCTTCCCAGCAATATTTTATTCTGAGAATGTTGTCTCATCTTTTCATATATGAATGCAGACAGATGTAAATTAATGTGTACTTTCTTAATGGTGATGTAGTGCTTAAATATTTTGCAATAAATTTTATTTTCCAAATTGCTGGTGAATACTTGATACTTAATGTGAATAACCTGGAAATATTCAGAAAGTTTCTTCACAGGGCTTGGATAGTGGGTGAGAGCGTTCAGGTAATTGACACCCTATCTGACTCAACCTTCTTTTGCTCCATGGATGACCACTGTCCTGCTTTGGTGACTTTTCCTAAGTTTACCTAAGTGAGTGTGTCTATGAAAAATGTTCTTTTGGTTCCCTCCCTTAGAATTTTCAAAAGATTATTATAGGTTTGCCAAGAGAACTGTTTTCATAAGCTTATTTACTCTCGTTGTTTTTCATATGTGTTTATAGGTGAATGAAAAGCCAGATGCTTTCTCATTCATTCCATTGGTTACAGGATTCAAAATTTTTCAAGTTTACTTGAATCACATCTCTCTCCAGAAATAATAGCAAATTTTATTCTCTGCTCATTGGAAAGAAGTTACTGATCTGTATGCTTTGTTAAACTGTAAAGGAAATGTATGTAGAGTAGGAATTCTTCCATAAGTTTGTGTATTTTTGTGTTATTCCATATTTCCACTTTGCTTAATGTTCACTGTTTTCACTTGCGTTAGATATGTTTTACTCATTTTTTTAGATTTGCGTTCATTGATCTTTTTAAATCTTTTTTTATTTATTTAAAGAGAAAAAACAAAACAAAAAAGGGTAGAAATAATGCAGAATTTCAGAAAAATAAACAGTAAGAAATCACTAGTTGATCTTAGAAATAGTTGTCATCTTAGAAATAGTTACTGAGTCATCTTAGAAATAGTTGTTCAAGTTACGAAATTAAAGCACACAAAGTGACTTTCAAATAATGACACTGCAAACAGTTCTGTTCAATGATCTAACAAAAACTTAGTAATATGGTTATCAGTACTACACACTTGCTTTTTATCTTAAAGAGGATAAGATTAAACATGACAAAACAGAACAAAACAGCTCATAAGAAAACAATTTAAAGAAATACAGATTTCAAAGCAAGTCCACTGAAGATCTTCACTGTCTATCGTATTGTCTCTAGTTTTCTTCCAAACAGTTGTTCCCATCTTCACACACATTGAATATGTACTGAACATTATAGAAACTAATCAAATCATTACAGGATGATGAAGGCTTTTTAAGTCTTCAAGACCTGACTTTGGGGAAGTCAATAATGACTACCATAATGTTTCTCATTCTCTTCATAGTAGCTGTCCTTATCTTTATGTGTGCTGAAATTGAACATAAGAGACTAGACTAATATCACTCTGAACAGTATTAAATCTAGCAATAATAGTATTGCTAGATTTTATCATAATGCTACAGAATTAGCACTGGGTTTCTTAATGTCTCTTCTTCAGAGTATCTGTTCATTACATCATGTATTGTATAATCTATTCCCATAAACAGTTTAGAAATTCTCCCCATGTGTGAATCTCTACATGTATATCTATTCTTTCTGTATTATAGGGAAAAACAGATCATAACAAGACAACAAAACAAATTCCTAGAAAAACATGAAATGAAAAAGACATATAAGACCACAATATTAGGTAATCTACAGTAGTTACTATGCTTTCTCTTGTTGTATTCAATAGAATTGTCCACATCATCAGGCATAATATAATTGAACATAACATTACATAGCTATACTAATAAAAACATAACTTTGAAGACATTGTAGGACTTGAAAGCAGTTAATAAAACTGGAATGGATATCTTTTACATCTTGCCATCTTCAGAATAGTTGCCTCTACTCTTAAACTTGTACTATCAAGCATATCAAATTCGAATAAAATCAGTCAAGGCAAGACAGCAGTCTAACAAACCGGCTTCAAATAAGATCAGTCACAGTAAGACAATGTAAGTAACACAGGGTTTCAGTTTAAGTTAATAGGAAATTAAGGATAGTTACCTGTTATTTTTGGGTTAGCTGTCTGTCCTCAAATCTAATATGAGTAAATAGATTGGAACAAAATAAATCAAACTAAACAGAGCAATAAGACTACTGTGACTTTTAAATCCTGATACACTATTAACAATGTCCTCTATCTTCCTTTTTTAGATAATACCTCCCCTCAAAGTGAGTCATTAAACATTCATCTGCCCCTGTGGTTTGTGCATGGTGGTCTTGTAGGCTCCCACTTTGAGCTCTGATTTAGAAATATTGTGCAGATAGCCTTACAGTGACCCAGCAAAAGAACCAGTGCTCCTATTCTGCTGTTGCATTAGCAGTGGGGTGCACTCTAGCATCAGAATTACTGTCAGAAAAAAATGTGTATATACACGGAATGGATGACTAAGACATGTAATTATGCTTTGAAGAATTCAGCTTTCGTTCAGCTGTTTTGTTTTGTTTTATGGAGAGAGTGTCTTACGGCGTAGTTCAGGCTGGAATTAAACTCACTCTGGAGCTCACACTGGTCTTGAACTCATGGCAGTCCTCATGTCTCAGTCTCCTGAATGCTGGGATTACAGATAAGCATCATCTCACATGGCCCTCAATTCAGCTTTTTATCAGAGGAGTTAAGATATCCCTGACTGTGAGTCTCAACCTCCCTTTGAGAATTTTGTGTATTCTCCTTTAGCAGGCAGTGACCTTTGAGGATGTGGCTGTGAACTTCACCAGTGAGGAGTGGGCTTTGCTGAACTCATCCCAAAAGAAGCTCTACAGAGATGTGATGGAGGAAACTTTTCGGAATATGGTTGCTATAAGTAAGCTTGACATGTCTTTTTTACTTACAGTATCAAAAGAATATGGTTTGTTGCTCATCAGTGCTGTTTTATTAAGATGAAGTTTGAAGAATAGCTGAAGCTTGGTTATACTATATCATAAATCTTGTTGAAATTTATTAATTTGTGTATATTAATATAATGAGTGGTTATATCTCTATGTCTACAATTCAGGAAGAACTGGGGATAACCAGGAAGTTGAGAAAGAATGCAAAACTTACTGGCGATATCTAAGGTAATTTTTACTCACAAGAAAAAAATAATGTTCCTCAGGAGTCTATGTGAGCAGAAACATGACAGACAAGGAAATGAGATGAAGTTCAATTTAATGTCAAAAATATTCTCCAAAGGTGTATATAGGTTGAGTATGTGTAATTGGCAATTGAATCATGAAAACATGAAATTGCATTTAGAAATTGTATGTAGATGTATATAAAAAGAATGTACTTCGAATTTTGGCAGGAACTCATATTTAGAATATTTATATATGCATGTGAATGTAACACATTCAGTATCTAAATAAAAATTGCTACTCTTAAAGTAGTAGTCACAGTACAAATAAATATTAAGTATAGTAACTATTTTAATCAATAAACAATTGTCTCTAAAGGTATACAGGCATATTTTTCCTGGGGATAGTCTCAAAAGAGTCAAAATCATCATATTATGCAGATGTATGCATACCCACATTCACTCAAGACAGGTAATGTTATAACTGGTTTGCTCAGCACTCTGGGAAGTGGATTATGGAGGATAGCAAGTTTAAGCTCAGTCTGAACAACTTAATCATCAGTGACAATCTCTGAAAATAAGAAATGAAAAAGTGGAGATTTTGTGCTAAGACCTTTGTTTCATTCCCAGCGCTGAAAAGAAAAGTGCTATATAATCAACCAAAAAGATAAATAACATCATATCATTTGCCAAAAGAAATAAATGGGTCTTCCTCCCATAATATTAAGTAAAATAACTTAGATGCAAAATGTGAAATGGCACATTATTTCTCTTATATGAGAAACCAAAATGCCAATTAAAGAGTAAAAAAAGAGAGAGGTGATAGAGAACAGGACTGACTTTTTAGAGAAGGGAAAGCCAAACAGATTAAGGAGAGAAAGAGAAAGAGTGTGATGGGGAAAGAGTTATCAAAATAATCGATATGTGATACATACATGTACCTATTGCTAAAAATGAAGCTAAACATCCTGTATTTCAAAATATACCAAATTTAAAATTCCAAAAGAATACTACTCTTTTGAGAATGGCTGTTTGGAATGTGTCTAGCAAGGCATTCCGTTGTTTGTCAAAATTTCTTAGCAGGCATCAAAACAGAACTTGTTTTGGTAAGTCATCAATATGGAGACCCATTTTTATTGTGATTCTTTGTTCTTTACAGAAATGAAGAGACAGGAAAATGCTATCAACTTAAAGCTTGGAATCAATATAAGGAACTATTCCTTCATACTTCAGATGCTAAGATGAATGTGAAACAAACAGACACACACAGTGCTGTTCAGATTCATGAAACGAATTGCAGTGGAGGGAAAGCCTATGTATGTAAGCAGTGTGGAAAAACTTTTGCCACACGTGGCTACTGTAAAATACATGAAAGTCTTCACACTGGTGAGAAACCTTATGCATGTAAGCAATGTGGGAAAGCATTCAGCACACGTAGGTACTGTCACATGCATGAGAGGCTTCACACTGGAGAGAAACCTTATGTGTGTAAGCAGTGTGGGAAAGCTTTCAGCATGAAACGTCATTGTCAAATACATGAGAGAACTCATACTGGAGAAAAGTTGCATGTATGTAAACAATGTGGGAAAGCTTTCACCACACGTGGCTATTGTAAAGTACATGAAAGAATTCACACTGGAGAGAAACCTTATGTATGTAAGCATTGTGGGAAAGCTTACAGCAGGTACAGTGAATGTAAAATACATGAAAGAAATCACACTGGGGAGAAACCCTATGCATGTAAGCAATGTGAAAAGGCTTTCACCACACGCAGGTCTTGTCAAATACATGAAAGAATTCACACTGGGGAGAAAGCTTATGTATGTAAACAGTGTGGGAAAGCTTTCACCTCACAGAGTTATTGTCAAATACACGAAAGACTTCACTTTGGGGAGAAACCCTATGTATGTAAGCAGTGTGGAAAAGCTTTCACCACACATGGATCTTGTCAAATACATGAAAGAACTCACACAGGGGAGAAGCCCTATATATGTAAGCAATGCGGGAAAGCTTTTAGCACACGCAGATATTGTCATATACACGAAAGACTTCACACTGGAGAAAGACACTATGTATGTAAGCAGTGTGGGAAAGCTTTTCGTACTCGTATATATTGTAAGAAACATGAAAGACTTCACACTGGGGAGAAACCTTATGTATGTAAGCAGTGTGGGAAAGCTTTCAGCACACGTAAGTATTGTCAAAGACATGAAAGATGTCACAGTGGGGAGAAACCTTATGTGTGTAAGCAATGTGGTAAAGCTTTCAGCAGAAACACTCATTGTCAAAAACATGAAAGAATTCACATTGGGGAGAAACCATATGTATGTAAACAGTGTGGGAAAGGTTTTACCACACATGGATATTGTCAAATACACGAAAGAAGTCACACTGGGGAAAAGCCTTATGTATGTAAGCATTGTGGGAAAGCTTTCAGCAGATACAGTGAATGTAAAATACATGAAAAATCTCACACAGGAGAGCAACCTCATGTATGTAAACAGTGTGGGAAAGCTTTTAGCAGACAGAGTGAATATAAAATACATGAAAGAATTCACACTGGGGAGAAACCTTATGCATGTAAACAATGTGGGAAAGCTTTCACCACACACAGATCTTGTCAAGTACATGAGAGAATTCATACCGGGGAGAAACCCTATGTATGTAAACAGTGTGGGAAAGCTTTCAGCACAAACAGTCATTGTCAAAGACATGAAAAAATTCACACTGGGGTGAAACCCTATGTGTGTAAGCAATGTAAAAAAGCTTTCACCACACACAGATCTTGCCAAATACATGAAAGAAATCACACTGGAAATAAAGCCTATGTATGTAAACATTGTGGAAAAGCTTTCACCACACATGGATATTGTAAAATACATGAAAGACTTCATATTGGGGAGAAACCCTATGTATGTAAACAATGTGGGAAAGCTTTCAGCACACGTAGGTATTGTCAGTTGCATGAAAGATGCCACACTGGGGAAAAACCCTATGTATGTAAGCAGTGTGGAAAAGCATTCAGCAGAAACACTCATTGTCGAAGACATGAAAGTATTCACATGGAGAGAAACTCTGTGTAAGTGAACTATTTGGGAAAGCTTTAACCACACATGGATATATCAAATACATGAAAGATGTCACATTTTGGAGAAACCCTGTGTGTATAAGCAATGTGGGAAAACTTTCAGCACAAACAGTGATTAAACACGTGAAAGAACTCACACTAGAGAGAAACATGTATGTCAGCATGATGGGATAGCTTTTGATACTTGTGAATATTGTCACATACATGGAAGACCTCACACTGGGGAGAAACCCTGTGAATATAAGCAATGTGGGAATGATTTCAGCACATGTAGAGATTGTTTACTGCATAAAAGCCTCCACTAGAGAGAAATTATGTATGTAAGCAATGTGAAAAAGATTTCATCGGGTACATTGAATGGAAAATATACAAAAGCACTTACATTAGAGATTAATTCTGTGTGTGTAAGCAATGTGAGAAAGGTTTCACTAGGCATAGTGAATGCAAAATAAGTGAAAGCACTTATACTGGGGATTGATCTTAGGAATATAAGCAATGTGGGAATACTTTCCACACACATGATGATTGTTGCATATGTGAAAAACTTACTGGACAGAAATCCCATGTTGAGAATGTGGGAAAGATATCAGTCTACTCATATTCTTCAGTACATGAAAGAAGCCTTGCTGAATAGAAAATTTTACATGTAAGCTTACTTTGAAAATGTTCTAAGAATTTCTCATGTTCTGGAGACCTGAAGAAATAATACAAAAAGTTTGATGTCAATATTTTATCACATTTTTCAGAAAATAGAAATCCCAGGTGGAACTATACTAAAGTACATACTCCATTTGGTTTTCAGTAAATCACATATACCTATCTAGGTTATGTACCTGTACAGCTATATATAGAAACATTGAGTTGATATAATTTTGTATTTTTTAGTTTCTCTGTCCATAGTGTCTTTTAATTAAACATGGTGAACTGAGATATACTCCCTGCTTTCAAGCACAGTTAGTATTGATGTAGATAATGGTTTTTTTCTTTATAATTTTGAGGCAGAGACCACTAAAAAACTTAACTTTTAAATTGTTTTTTCAATTGCTATTTGTTGGTATTTTTACATGTATTTGTTTTACATTTTGGTTCAAATACTCCCGTCTCCTGTGTAACAAATGATGTTTCTGAACTTGATATTACATTTTATATTAAAATATGTAAATAATATATTTCAGAAACTGTGAGCATGTATTTATTACAAAGTTGTATTGTTTTCCCCAAAACTTGTAACTTAGCAAATGTTATGTTTTTCATGTGACAGGATACTTGTTTATATCCTAACATGATTGTATATTACACCATGTACATAATGTTGCCTGTTTTTCTTTGTTACTGTAGCCAATATTATCATTTACATAAATATTTATGTTTTCCTACCATCAAAATTTTACTTGTCATTTTTATGTTGCAATGATTTTTAATTTGGTGTTACTTTTTCCACTCTATGTACCAAAAATGACCCACAGTGCTGTGAATTAGTGATTGCCCCAGACCAGCAGAACCATAACTTGTCTGCAAAAGCATATCGTGAATTATAGCACTTCTCCAGAAAGTATAAATGATGGCATGCTTTATCAGTAACAACACTTTGAGAGGAATTCTTGTCAGCTCTAGATTGTTTTGGGGGGAGACCGGGGATTTAGCTCAACGGCATAAGTACCTGCCTTGCAAGCAGGTGTCATGAGTTCGATCTCCAGTACTGAAAAAAATGAAAAAGACCAAAAAAAAAAAAAAAAAAGATTGTTTTGGGGGAGCATGGTTGCTATTGAATGTACAAGGCCAACGTCTTCATTCTATTCCCTGTTGCTGTGATGCCATTCTATCTTTGGTAAATCATTATTGTTTTTACCTGATACTCTAAACTAATGGCGTGAAGGAAAACCTAACTCATGAGATATTAGTCAGTTTGGTAGATTGTTTTTTCTGCTACCAATATTTGAGACAAATTTCTACAGTGCCATTTCTCATTTTTCATCAGGACCCTTGCCTGATGTTTACGATATGAGCCAGTTGCCTTCAAACACATAAAATGGGCCAAGGTGTGTGTATGAATCCTACTTAGTCTCCTTTGACCTGTATTTTTTTATTCTCTTTATCATTGATGGAATTTGTAAAGTGTTTAATACAGTGTTCTTGAATACAAAAGCTGCACAATTTTTGCTGGCATTGTGTTGTTACAAATCTGTGGGATCTTGAAAGCATAACTGAGCACTGCATTAAGTATCTCTAATACAGTGAGTATAGCTTGCTCTCGTCTTAATTATGCTCAGACACATCAACCTCTCACCTGTTTTGTAATAGCACCTAAAATTATGTCTTTTGGATCTGAAATATCTGATATAGTTCATGGAACAAATGACACTGTACAAGTGTCAATCTTTACACCCTACAACATGTCGCCAATTTCCCTGCAGCACATTTCTGCTTACCCTCACCAGGAAGATGTGTGGTGTGTTTTGCTATTCTAGCTAATAACAGAATATTGACTCTAGAAGAAACTTATTCTGTGTATATTCACTTTCTCATTTTATCACAAAAATCTTATTAGTCCCATTGATGCATGTTTGTAATCCCAGAAACTCAGGAGGCTTCAGTGGGTGGAAGAAAAAGTTGAGTCCAGCCTATTAAATTTAGTTCCTGTATCAAAAATGTATCTTCAAGTTCTGTATATGTAGCCCTGTGCTTTAGTACTCCTAGCTTGACTCCTCAGTATCAGAATTATTTTAATGCGCACAATTACACATCAGTGGTTGTCCTTTTCTCACTTGACCACTTAATAGTTTACCCCAAGCATTTGTTTGGAAGTGCATTTGTTTATCGACTAACTTTATTCGGGGCATCTTTGGGGCAGGTGTCATTTTAACAAGTTGGCTCATACTGAATATGTTTCACAAAATTATTGTTTTTGTATTTCCTATAATATTATGAACATTAAGAAAACATACAATTTTTGTCATCCTGTATTTAAATAATTGGACTGGTAAGTGGTTATGTATAAAGGTCTAAGCCTAATGTGATTCCTTTAGTCCCCGTGTCAGGAGAGACAGATGTGATAAACAAGGCTTTGAAGCTAACTTTGGTGGGCAGCTTACTTAGATGCCTCAGCAAACTGTGAAGCAGTTGTCTTTATACACACATTTGAAGTTTAAGGCAAGAAACAAGTTCACATCAAGAATATAAACTTAGGATAGGGGCTGGGAATTTAGCTCAGCAGTATAAGAATCTGCCTGACAAGTGTGAGGTCATGAGTTTGATCTCCAATACCAAAAAAAGAAAAAAGAAAAGAAAACCTAGGATAGTATTAAAAAAAAAAAATCACTACTGCAAAGCACTGATTTTGTTGCTCCCGAAATATACTTTTTTTTTCAGAAATACACTTTTTATGGTAATATTTGTATAACAGCCCTATATATGTCTATATCAGAGTAAAACAAATGAAATGTAATTGTCAGAAATCTTGTTCTGAGTGTGGAGACAGAAATTTTTTATCAATGCAGTTGCTGATGTTTTGTGTAGAAAACAAGATACGATGATACAACAAAATAAAAATTGTGTGTAGTTTAAAAACTCATGCACACATGGAAGCAAAACAAAATACATGAAGAAACAACCTAAAGAATGGGAAAAAATTTGCCTGATACTCCTCAGAGAATGAACATCTAAAGAAACAGGCAAGTGAAATGAATATACACCACAGATTAAGTACAAATTGTCAATAAATACTTGAAAAATAAATGCTTTTGCCCAATAGAGAAGTACAAATTGGAACATTATCTCATTCCAGACAAAACACATCACCATGAATTAAAAAAAAAAAAGTTCACAAGGCTGCAGGGGAAAAGCAGTGTAAGTAGTTCAACCAATACCAAAGTCAGTGTACAAAGTATTCAGAAACCAAAGTTATTCCATTTGGTGCAGTGCTTCCATTTGTGGGTATCTTCCCCAAAGAGTTAAAGATATCAAATTTCTGTGACCCTGGGATATTGTTTACTGCAGCAATACTAGCTTTTTCTATGGGGAACAGCAGCGAAGATTGCTCTGTCAGTCACCAGATATCAATGATAAACAATAAATATTCTTCAGTGTACTCCATTTAATAAAAGATATGTGCTTTTTATTGTGAACATGGGCTCATGTTAGATTTTTTTACTAGGTCAGTATAGGCATGATAAACATGTTCATGTACAAGGGCATCACTGTTATGTTCATTAGATTTGGTATCTTAAATGAATATTCAGTATATTTTATTTCAACTGTTATGGTTGTTGAAATATTTCCTCTTTGTACCTCAAGGAACATCTGTAACAACTTCAAATTCATTGAGATGGTAATGGACTCTACACCAAACACATTACACTTTTTCCTGGGTTCAGTGCTGTCAGTGTACTGCAGTGAAACATATGTGTACACATGTACATTATAGTTTCTTTCTCTACCTTCTTTTGAAAAAATTTATAATATTGCCTTGTCCAACCTGAGGGGCAGTACTCCTACTATGGATCCCTAAGGGCTTAAACCTGGGGGACCACTGACTACTCAAATGAAGTGTGAAACTTAAGGACAAAAAGAACCAGTAAAGCAATCACAGTCCAAAGCTTGTGAAGCTCCATAAAAAAAAACCCAATAAAGATCTGTGTCCAAAGGCTGAACACTGGTGTCTGGTATCTTGTGTGAAGACAGCATTAAATATCACAGCTGTTTAAGACAATTCAAGTAGCAGAAGCTTCTGTGTTCCACTTTGATTTTTGTTTTGGTTCACAAGTGCCAGGTCACCTTCGACATGCCACTTTCCTCATAACAGTTACTTCCAACTCACATCATTGGTCTATGTATCAATTATTTTCTCTAGATAAACACACATATGCATGCAGTTTTCATGTTGTGTCTTCATCAAGTCACCGATGACAAAATAATCAAAAGCAAAACCTTTTGTATTACTACATGTCTATATCTTTACATTGGTTGTCAGAAAGTTGTATATGCATATTAAAAGCACATCTCAACTCTTCATTTTAGCTTTCCATCCCCATTCTCTCCCTTCTATCATTTCTTCATCCTGTTTCCATTTTTAAAATATTTCTCATTTTATAATTATAATGTAAAAACATTTTCTTATATAAGTAAAATTAAACACAATACTTCCTATAATAAAGGCCATCACCTATACATAGCAGCTTCTTGAATGCACAAGTTGTATAAGGATTTCAGCATCATTCCTGTGTTTTGAAAGGAAAACCACACTATACAAGTCCAATGGAGAGAATTCCAAGTAATGGATATGAGGCCACATTGAGACACTGGAAATGGAGAGCCACAGGTGTGAGGCATGAGCATGTGAGGATCACAGCATATGAGTTTGGTGCATGAAAGCAAGCATCAGATTCACCTTCTGAAAATTTTGATGCAGGGCTGCCTAGAATTTGAGGCACAAGTTTTGCTCCTGTATCCAGTATGCATGACCAGGCATGTGGCAGCGCGGGATGTGGTAATCATAGTCCCTCTTTATCCACATGTTGCTTCTGCCAGCTTAGTAGGATCTAATATTAAAAATTCCAAATCTAAAAATGATAAGGTTCAGATCATGTGCCTTTCTCACTAACATGATTAAATCACATGGCACTACAATCCATTTCTCTCAGTTAATCTGAGATAGCTATTGTGTGATGTCCTATCATGACAAGGAAATTTGAGTACAATAATATGAGGGACAACACTCAGAGAAAGACAGCACAATCACATGGCCCTACGACTTTGAAAACCATTTTAGTATTAAGTAATATAAATCTCAACCTGTGCATAATTTATCAACTACATTTTTTCATATTCTTATTGAAAAGTTCTTGTTCTGGTATAAATTACTGTACAATTATAGCAGTGATCTAACGTGGCGAAAGGCCAAAGTGGGAATGCTTACCACTTCCTGCTTCTTCCTCATCCCTAATTGCAGCTCCCCTTGTGGTTCACATGCACAGAGAATTCCAGTAGGTTCCTCACACGTCATCAATATCCACTCCATGTGCCACTTCAATCAGAGGTCATATAACCCTCTGCCTCCCTGTATCGTCGAAGGAGATAGCCCAGCCCCAAAGGGTTGTGTGCTCCTTTCCATGTCCTCAGCTCAATAAACCTGTTCATTTTGTACTTTGCATCTGTATTGTGCCATAATACTCTAACACATATATGTATATAAAATGCCATGTGTTTGTATGTATGTGTGTATATTGTACTACTGTCTACTATTGAAATCATACATTGGGCACATGGAATCATATGCTTATCAGAAAAGGAGAAATTCCTTTTATATTAATGAAGAGGTACATGACTCCTGTATGTCTGTTTTATCACAGCAGAAGAAAGGACAAGTTTTCTGAAGAAGTCACATGACTGACTAGCTTGCCAAAGGACCAAAGGCATGCAAACTGCCCAAGAACAGCCTCTGTTCTGCTCCTGTGTCTGAACCACACAGATACTTGAAAATTTTCTATCTTTGTCCCAGGGATATAGCTTGGTTTCACATTGGGCGTGATTGAATTTGAGAAGGAATAAACCTGGATCAGATATAAATCTTTGAAAGGAAAATGCATTCATAAGAAGTTCAGTATTTACTCTAGAAAAAATTGGTGGGTGAGTGGTAACTGAGGTGTGGTAGAGAGACAGTGTCAAATGACAAAGAAAAACCATTGCCAGGGACTGGGGATTTAACTCAGCGGCATAAGCGCCTGCCTTGCAAGCAGGCAGTCGTGAGTTTGATCCCCGGTACTGATAAAAAAAAAAAAGCAAAAAGACAAAAAAAACAAAAAAGAAAAGAAGAGAAAAAAAAAAAAAAGAAAAACCATTGCCAGGCAGACCACCTAACAATTATCACCTGGACTTTAGGAGAGCTACTGAGGCTCTAGGAATGGGAGAGTTCATGTTTGAGAATTTGTTTCTCCATCCAAATTCACACATACTAGTATCTGTAGATCTCTTTGTACCCTCTAATCCATTTTTGTTTGCCCATTTTTAAATTCACTAAAGTGTCTTAGCATTTCTACTTTATTAGTTAATGTAAAATGAATCATGGATTGTCACAATGTCACATTCAAAGATTTAGATTCAACATTCTTGTCTTAATCTGTCAGTGTTGTTGTGATATGGGTGGATCGTATCCAAGTTGAGGCCAAACTGAAGCCAGCAGAGAAAGAACAATGAATTTCCCTTGGTGCTTTCTGGACAGCAGTCGGCCTCCAGCTGGAGAGAACACCAACAGAATGAGTGTGAACAGTGTAAAGGTGCAGAGTGGTGAAGGGCTAGAGACTCAATGCAGAAGTCATGAAGCCAGCTGAAACCACAGCCATTGAGTGTATACCTCCTTTCCGAAGTTGTGGTCCTATTTTCCTTATGAATTTTTACTTGCAGTTTTCATTTTGGCATGCTTTGACTTATGGGTGTTAATCTATAATTTGTATACATTAAATATTTGTTTTCAAGCTTACAAAAATCATTTTGAAGACTTGTCAGTTTGAGGTGCAGAAAGGTTATATAGAAAGTTTTTAGTACATACTGAGAATGATGCATAGGCCCTTAGGAGGGAGAGATGTACTACAGTTTGGAACTGGAAATTCAACAACTTATAGTGCTTTGGCAGGCAGGGGAGGATGTCTTGCTCACATAGACATGATATAGACATAATAATGCTCTCTTCAAGGAGGAATGTATAATTTACAGGTAAAAAATGAGATTTATTCACAAGTGAAAGGGAATTTCCCAGGATTATTGTTACATTATTGGTTCCTGATGAGTTAATGATTGTTTTTTTCTTGATGGAGAGTTATCCTAAAGGTATTTAGTTAAATTTAAATGTTGAAATCAATTTTTAAATTAAAGATCTGATCTTCAATGGTTACGTTCTAGTCTGATTATATAGACTTGTACCCTTGTTTCATGATGTGATTCTGATAACAAACTTTTTAAATAATATATTTTGCATGTAAGCACATGGAAAAGGTTAGGGAGTATTCCTCACAGATAGAGAGCATGCTTCATGAGAATGACTCTCTGGAATCCACCTGCTAAAATGAAGGCAACAACAACAACAAAAATTACCAAATTGCTGCTCTTATCACCTTCTCAATACATTCCACATTTTCTCTATTACAATCTACGTAATATTTATACTCAAGAATTGAAGGAAAATCTCATAGGAGTTTATTTTGCAAAAGTTAGCTCTATGTGGAAATATTTATTCTGCTTTATAAGAATTCTAAGTGTCTAAGTACTAAATCTAAAAGAATAAATAATTTATAAATTATGTTTCTGAACCTTGAGCTATTATTTCTCACATTATTTTCACAATCATTGGTCTCTTTTTAAACTTCGTTTTCTAACCATATTTTCTCCTGCTTTATTTGTTGGCTTATTGCAGGTAGATTTGCTGGTAATTGCTATCCAAATGCTTTGAGAATTCTCAATTAGGTATTTCCTCCCTGCCCAATTTAGTAAGAAACAATTAACTTACCTTTACTCTTTAATTATTTTAAATCATACATAAAAAGTCCACAATCTTTTTAAATCCCTCCTAAATGAATTGTTCTTTTTAATCAATACTTTCCTTTTCTGAAGCTTCATACAGTAATATTAAACTGTCTCTCACTATAGGAACTGTCCACCCCATATATATTTCTATAATTGTCATTTCATATGAGGTGAATAATTCAACCCTTGCCTCTGATCCTATCTTAAAAGCACATTTCCAAGATTTTTCCTCAACATATAATTTGTTTTGATAATTATCTAAAATGCTATTCCACGGGTGTCTTAAATTACTGGTCATTCAGCAATTGATAGACATTTAAATTGGTACTACTTGCCAGCTTTCATGAACAATAAAGTCTAAACATTCAGGGGCAATATTAGTATTAAATTGTATCTTTTGTATATATAGGAGAAGGTTTGGTGGGTTTCATGAGAGTATTTATGCATTATGAAATGCACCATTTGAGAGACATTGAAATGCAGTTCCCTTGGAGACTCTACAGAGATGCAAATTATCTGAGCAGAGTTGGTGCATTTAGGAAATAATTAGAAGTAGACATGTTAGGTTGATAAGTTGCTATGCTATTCACAACTCAAAAAGAAACTATGAGACTACAATACATTTTCTCTCTTTCTCTCTCTCTCTCTTTTAATGTGTGATATTGTTTATGATCTCCCATTGAGAAATATCTCGCACCATTTGAAATTATGATCCACTTCCATTTTAAAAAAAAACCAGTGTACACTTCTTTTCATTCTACCTTATTGAATGTGAAGTACTGTGTTTACTTTCAGGGGTGAACTGATCATAAAATAACTGTGTTTTTTTCTTGCAGAAACTTGTAGACTTTTCCAACATGACTTGCTCTTTACATTTGCAATACAAGTTTGTGAGTTATCTCCTTATCTTCAACAAAACTTATTACTGATCCAGTGTATTTCATTGTAGTCTTACTGGTTTCTTATTTTCACTTGTTATTAATAGATATGGTCCTAACAATTTCAAATTCTTGTGCACTACTTCCCAAGAATATCAGAAATACCAAGATTTTTTTTTCTTGCTTGAAGATGAATCACTGTGAGTCGGTGGGAAATACATCAGTACTGTGAGCTGGGCTATGTATGGGGGCCTGAAAGCACCTCTGTAAATTGCAGACAGACATGCAGAAAGACCAATCTGCAGAACACAATTGTAGAATTTAATGTTTACGTGGCAGTGCTTCAGGTCTGATGTGCAAACTTTCTGCCCTAGGAAGTCTTAGTCTTTTATCTTGAGGCTCTAACATAGTTGACAGCCCTCGAATGGTGATTGTGCATCCTGCCTGGCTCAGCCATGTTTAGAGAGTCACAGGGTGGGGAAACAACCACTGTTACCTAGCTTCAAAGGTTACACATCACTATCTTAAATCAGAATGCTTCTGCAACATGAGCCTGCCTCCTCATGGTCTACACTCAGACAGTGTTTAATAATGACTTCTTTTCATGCTTAGTGCACCAACATGACTTTGCTTCAAACTACCTTTTCTTTTTTTGGCACTGAGGATCGAACTCATGACCTAGCACTTGGCAGGCTGGCATTTATGCTACTGAGCTAAATCCCTGGCCCCCAAACTATTTTTTCTACCATCAATGCTGTTTTAAAATTGCCTCAGAAAATACACTGTGTCACTCAAAGCACTGAAGGTGAAGTGCCACCTCTTTTGTTGAGCTAGTGAGTTTCACACTATCTTCTTTCACACTATCTTCTTTCACTATCTTCTTTCACTCACAGCACCTTGTACTTTAAATTTTCTCTTACTATCATCACTATGAGTTTCATTCCTAGTTGGTATGAAAATATTACAAATCCTGAGAAGCAATAATGACTGTAAGCAAAACTTTTCTCTGTCCTCAACTTTTTACAGCTCAGATTGTGAAATTCTCTTTTACCAAGATTAGGAACTTGGAATAAAAGGTGATGAGACAGGGTTCCATTTGTCTTCAGTGAAGTTTAAAGACTGTATCAGAGACTGAGAGAAATCTTCTGTAAGAGGCAACTTTGAATAAGATGTGAAGCGTGTCCACAAGTAATTCATGTAATGAAATGAAGAGTTAATTTTCAATAATAAAGATAATATTTAAATTTTGGGCAACCTATACATGAAGTGTTAGATTGATTTGTAACAACATAGGATATTAGAGTGATTTCCCAGAAAGCATTGTCATACACTCCTTCACAAAATTGTACATATTCTTCTTGGGTTCTTCTAAGTGAACACTTACAGGCAAAACTTTCAGGTAATAAAGGAAGCCTCCACCAGCTTGTAAGATAATGTGTAATGCAAGTGCATGTATCTGTAGCAGTCTCTTTGAATTAGGCATAAGTTCATGGCCAGATGCCTGTTTACACTGAGATAGTTCTGTCTGTCTGGAGGCAAAGGAGATGTAGAGGAAATAAGTGATTTTGATAGGAAAGAATTTTGGAGTCGGTTTATCTACATATATAAAAATATGTATGAAGAACAGTAATTTAAAAGTCCCCATTTATATCATTGTTGGGGAAACAAATTGATACATTTGATGAATTTATGGAAATGTAGAAACCACAAAAAACTGAGTTGTCTAGGGATGTATTTAATAACTTATTTAGTTACAGGTACAAAATAGCAACATAGACAATTTAAGAAAAATAATTTTGTTTTGTCTCATTGTTTCAGATAATTCAGTCTGGGTTTGACTATTTCCAATTGAGAAATATCTTGGCAAACAGAAATGAAGTCGAAAAGATAACTTCATCACTTCAGTGAGCTACAGTGTAGAGAAGGAGCCTGAGAGTAAAGATTAAAGAAACAAATGTACCAGACACTCCTAGAAGTGTACTTTGCTAATCTACTACACATCTCTCAGTCAAAACAAGTTGCTAACAAGTGTAGCACATGGTTCCAAGCAGTGTATTCTTTCCAGCAATATTGAAGTCCTGAAGAGTCAGAGTTTCATTCTTTGAGGAGTGAGCTACAGGGCATGGTGAGCTTAGAGTTTGAAGTCTTTAGCTGTCCCTGCCTCATCACATTTAAATGGTTGAATGGATGAGTGGGGGAAGGCTCCATTTCAACAATCAATGTGATATCATGCTTGTCAATATGCTTACTTTCAGAGTTCAGGTTTTTGTTTAATGGCCCTAGGAGAGTAGACATTTTTTTTGCCATTTTGTCCTCACTAGTCTTTTGCAGATTATTATATATTGAATTCTAATTTCTTCATTTACACAATAATTGTGTGCCTTTGCGGGGAGGCAGATGTTTATTTATTTATCTATTTATTTATTCTTTGCTGGAAAAGAATAGATGGAGAGAGATAGTGTGAAAATCCTGAGAATGAAGTTTACTGATTCACTCCAAAATATTGACCTGGTATGCAACCTGCTCTCCCTCTAGTCGATGTTTCTATTGGTCTAGCCTCAGGATGTTTTCTAACATCAGGAAACTGATTCTGTCCTAGAATGTTGACCCTAGAACCTGCTGAATACATTTGTGTCCCATTTTCAGCAAAAGTGCAGGGAGTCCTTAAGGAAAACAGAAGCAGAACTGAAAAAGCAGGGAAAAGCCCTTTAATGCAAGTATCCCTCAGGCAAGGTGAATTCAACAGTGTGTTAGACAGTCTGGTCCCCAAGTGGCCGCGCTCCATTCTTCCACTGGGAACCCGCTTTCAACTGGCTGGCATTTCTTTCTCCCTCTATTCCTGATGTAGAGGGAGGGCGATAGACAGGGACCCAATCAGTGATGAGGGGGCGGGCTGTATGAACTATCCAATCAGGTGGGCCAAATTTGGAGGGCTCTTCCGGTGTCATGGCCACTGTGCGTTTCTCGAGCACACTGTCCAGAGCAGAATGCTTACTAGACCGTCTCCTGTGGTTTCTGCTTGCTACAGCCTGCTTAGGAAAGACCCTGAGAGACCCTCAAGCCACGTAATGGTGACGTTGTGGGATGGGATCCCTAAAATGGGGTGAAATTAGGGTGAGATCTGGCCAGAAGTGGTCACACCAGGTGTGGTGGCTTGATCCTCCGTGCTTACCCTCAGCCCCTGAGGTCCTCCTGCCCTGGCAGTGAGTCATTCTCTGTCCTTTTTGGGCCTTGTTGAGGCACGGCTAGTTCTGGGTCTTCAGTACCCTCTCTCCACAGGGACACCACCCGCCCAGAATGCTGTTTTGTCAAACCCTGTGCCGTCCTGGCACCTCCAGCATTCTGTTGTGAGTGAGAGGTTTTGCGAGACCCTGACTCAGATGTGGTTTGTGTTGGGGGCAGCTGTGTGGAGCTGGATCTCTGGTCTCATTTCTGCCAGCAGCAGATCTGGAGGATCTGAGGTTTATAAATGTCTATGATGCAGGGTTTCATATCGACAGTTTCTTTGTTTCATTTTTTGTATTTATAGTGAGATCCTAATTTTCCCTTGTGTCCTCACATTGCCGAACTCATGATGTGTCGACAAATTCCTGAGAATTCAGAGAAGTGTGGCGATGTGTCTTTCCAAACACTTGGTGAACTCCCGGGTCCCACAGAGGGCGATGTAAAAGACATGCGTACCCTACTGAATTCTTTAGGTGACACCCTTAGGCTATTGAAATGAGGACTGTTAGAGTTTAGAATTCACAGAAAGATGGGGGAGATGTTAAAGTCCTTACTAGGGCAGGGGAAAGTACCTGCTAAGGATAACTGCCAAAATGGATTGACTGTTCAACCTACACTAAGAGAGCCCTGTCCTGGGGCATATTCATGGAATTGTTATGTGTGATAGGTGTATGAGTGCAGAGGGCTGGGGTGCCATTTCTAAATTTATGGCTATAGAGCTTGACCTAGTACTAAATATTGTTTAAATACTGAAGTTCTCTCTCTCTGAGGTCGACTTTAAATGGTGTAATAGAGTAGAGGAGAAGCTCGGAGTAGGGTTTATGCAGGGATATCAATGATTGGAAATGTAGTTTAATGAAGAGTACAAATAGTAGCACTCACAACTTAGAAGATTTTCTGTTAAAGTCAGGTTGTTGTTAGGGTAAGCCTGAAGAGAGAATTGTGTGCTTGTTTGGTCTGTGAGGTGGTCAGAAGTCACAGGCTTAAAGATAGAAGGGGAACTTAATAATAGGTAAATATGTTTTCTGTTCTCGCTGATCAGTTAATCTAATCCTTTTTGAGGTAGTGTTGGAAAATAGGAAACTGTCTGGCGTAGGTTTAATTAGTGTAGACAATGTTGCATGCAGCTGAGTTAGTTAGAAACATTACAGGCAGTCAGACATGGATAGGTCTTCCAAGGAGCCAGTGCAGAAGCCTAGATATCTTACAACTGTGAGGGAGACAGACACCTCCTGCTGTGGGCCAGGCCTCAAGACAAAGAATCAAACAAATGCATCCACATCCTGAGAACTGATACTCTAAATAGTTCCCTATCACCCTGGGGCAGCCAGGTGTAACCATCCCAACCTCCTAGGGTAGAGTCACTGCTCTGTAAGAATGCCTGCTTTCCTCACAACTTGCTTCCTCATTTGTCCCCATTTTAATCAATTTTACCTGAACTATTAATCTTATTGGCTAGCTATAGTTATGTCCCAACTTATGCCCAACTGCCTTGTGAATTCCTAGTTTTCCCTCACCTTGAACCCATCTCACCCCATGTTTTTGCTTTATCAAAGTCCCTGGAAAAGACAGAGTCCTTGGCAACCCACTAAGGATCCATTCTGTCTCTTTTAGACAGAACCTTTCTTTCTCTCAATAAATATATTCTACTCTTAACCTCCATTGTTCCTAAAATTCATTTTTCAATTTTAGAGACCATGAACTCGCACCGGACATAGGAAGTTGGGAGTTTCATTCCCCTTTATCAACACCATCATTGAAATAGAATTAAAAAAATTTCCCTAGGATACAAATGATTTCAAGTTGTGCATTATATTTTTATTATACAGGAACTGAATGCTGGAATTTTTAAAATTTTGCAATCAGGTCTTCCTAAATTGATTGGGGTAGTGAGACCTTTTGGTAGTGTTTATACCTTATTGACTTGTGGGATGTGATACATATGATGCTATATGAGTTTAAGATTGAGGTTCTTTATTCACTAGAATTTACTAAGATTTCCTTTGCTTGTGTCAAGTAAAAATCAGAGAGGTGTGGTGGTTCAAACATTTACTCTTAGCCACTTGGGAATCTGTGATGAGAGTATTAATCCTGGCCTGGACAATCGATCAAGACCCTCTTTTAATATGATATATAAATTCTGTGATTTATTTCCACTGAACAGTAATCCTAGGCCCTGTAATAAATCTGCAGTACTAAAGAATAAAAGTAAATGATTAAGTGGAAATCTTACCTTGAGATTTTTACTTTATGTTTTGGTATAAGGTGCAGTAAGTGCTCAGGATGGTGGACAGCAGTAAGCAATCTCTGCTGTGGCAGCAGCAGGCCACCAATGGTGAACAGTGATTTACAGTGCACTGTATTCAGTGACGTGCATGAGCTATTTACTGTATTATGAATTTTGTATTGTGTTGCATCTCTTTCCCCAAACATAGATCAAGAAAGTGTGGTGAGCAAGTTTTAAAAACCTAAGGCTTGGGGGCTGGGGATTTTAGCTCAGTGGCATAAGCACCTGCCTTGCAAGCAGGCGGTCGTGAGTTCAATCCCCAGTACTGATTAAAAAAAAAAGAACCTAAGGCTTTGCAGTAATGTTTGCTTGATCAGGCATATTCTGTATATTTTCAACACATTTTGTTTTCAACTTCCTTTCCATTGATCATAATGTTTTCTCTTTCAAATTCAAGTAGGGCATCCAGTTCAATTCTTCAAAAAGTCCCCTATACAAATCATACTCACCAGCTTGATTTCTTTGGTGGAGTAATGGGGATCAAACTCAAGATCTTGCACTTGCCAGGCTTATGCTGTTAAGCTAAATCCCTGGTCCTTGAGAGCTGTTTTAATCAGGTTCCCTAGAGCCACAGAATCAAAGTAATAGTATAAGCAGTGTTTGAAAAGGGGACACTATGGATTTTTTGCTCCTTTGTTTGCTTTGATTTCATTTGGTAGTTATTATGATTATAAAGGGGGCTGAGAATGGGGGCACATGCCTGTAATTTCAGCACTTGGGAAGCTGAGGCAGAAGGACTGTCACAATTTCTAGGCCATTCTGGGATCCATAGTGAGTTCATAGTCAGCCTGAACTACAGAATAAGGCCCTGTCTTACAAAATAATAAAATCAAATAAAGTAAGAGATGCTCCTCTCTTTTCACACTGTCTGACTTGCATCACCATAACAGGTGGGTAGGGTGGAAATTTTCAATGACCAGACACAAATCTGAGCAGTCAAACACAAATCACCAAGCATGTGTAAGGCTGAAGAAAAGTTACTTCCATTACAATTTCTAATTTATACTGATTTGGGGAAGTAATTGCTTTAAGCTTGGGAAAACATCTGTCTTTCTATACTAGTTTGCCAAGTCATGGAATCTCATTCCATGACATTAAGGAGCAGAAAGCAGAACTGTCCAGAACTTTCATTTCCAAGGTCTTTCACTTTTCAGTGATTTGTATCTCTCTGGGAGAAGAGATGACCATGGGCCTTTGTTATATGTTCCCTAAGTTATAATTGACTGCAATCCTTGAGTCCCTCTGTGTTCTTTTGGGTTTCTCACATGCTGAGGACCCACCTTTTTTCTATAACATGTTACTTCAGGACAGTTATGCTCGATGTCAAATCTATGTGTTAGAACTGGACTGAATTTGACAGAATTGTGGTGACTCTGGGTGGTGTGAGTGTTGGAAGTTTGGGCTCACCTGTTACCAGGAGAACTTTTTATTGTTCAACAAAAAACACAACTTTGAATTTTGATGTGAAACCTGGAAAAGACAAAGGTCAACTTTTAATGAATGGGTGAGCAGTTGTGTATTTTCAAAATTAATCCAGTGGAAAGAAAGAAAGTGTACTCTGGGAGGATGGCTGAGAAGCATGTTACAGTTTCCTAGCGGTGCATATTTTCCTCACCATGTGTGAGTGAGACACTCTGGACACATGGAGCACAATGAGATAGAGATGGTGTGTAAACTCAGGAATATGTTTAATGTTCTGAGTGAGGGTTCTCTTATGAATTTCTTCCCTGTCATTTCTTTTGATACATGTTGTTTGTAGAAAAGGAAAAAGGTTTCCTAACGGGCTTAGAAATTTTGTTTTATGATTGATCCATACCTATTTGATTTGTTTTGCTATTTGTTTACCTATTTATTGGGAGTTGAATTATAAGGTACACTAAGCATAATGTCTGCTACCAGATAATGCCTTGTAGTTTAACAATGGGTATATGTTCTCTTTCTTTATTAAAAGAGCATACACAAAAAAATGAAAATGATGATACAGAATTTCAAAACAAAGTAGTAGGAAATGAACACTAGTTAATATATTGCATGTTATCTTCAAAGTAGTTCAGATTAGAAGATTTAGGCATGAAAAAAATCAAACAAATAGTGAAAGCACAAGCTGTTCTTTTTGGTGAACTGACAGATTAGTAGTATAGTTATCTATCTTGTATATATATATATATATATATATATATAATATACACACTATATAATCTTTTCCCTTTCTCTACTCCTTTGCCGTATCCCAGTTGTTCTTTCCTTTCGAGCTCTTTCTTTCTCTTTCTTTTTCACAGTATCTATTGTACATTTTGGATCTTATTTATTTATTTATTTATTTATTTATTTTACAAAACTAGAGGACTTCATCTGAAGAAGCAAAGCAAATTTAGACATAAACTAATTTTTTTTACATTTAACACACACATGTATAAACCTCCACAGAATCATGGTTGTGGTGAACAGACTTGACTGTGCTCACTTCTGCTTTGTCTCTTTGATTTCATCTGACTACACTCAGAGGTGGCCACAAGATGGACTTTTGGGTGCTCTCTGAGAGTACCACCTTGGCATTAA